CCTTTCCTATTGCGATCATCAAGGGACTCTAAAAACTAGCCACTTGTACACTAAAACCCTCTTCTACCTATCCGTATTAGATGCAATGAGTGATATGGTAATCTATTCTTCGTTTAAAGCATTTTCGTCTCTTTCCGGTTTTTGCCTTAATTTTACCAGACTTGCTTACATAATTTACTGTACGTGGTCTTGTTTCTTCATGCTTCATGCCCAAAGTTATTTTCCTCCCCTTGTAACTCAGTTTAAATTTTAGCTAGATTCAGAGGAGTAACATATAGCAGTGCAGAAAAGCTACTTAATGTATTATTACCTATCTATCCATAAATATGTATATTTTCCTTTATCTCAATGCATTTTTGGTATATTTGTAAATTGTTATACTTTTATCTACTTTAAGAGTTTCAATCCTGCTGGTCTAATAAAAGTTGCTCGAGGACATCGTCAAGGCAGGTTCCCTGTTATTACTTGGCAGCATCCTCAGACTGCAGCCTATCTCCTGCGTGGTGGTGGCTTTATTTCTGAATCTGTGGTCGTTGGCGCCTGGAACAAGGCGGCAGTTCATACCGCACATGCTGCGGCTACGATGGGCGCTCACCCTGGCTTGACGAGTAGTGAGAAGCAGAGTAAGACTGCTAGTGCTGACCTTTATAAATTCACTTATGTGCCTCACAGTCATTCAAGTGCATTCCAATAACTAAGCTTTGATGCAGTCATTAACTTCCATCATAAAATATCAGCCTCGTTATTGCTAAATAGCGATTTGCCCATCATGATGAACCATGGAACCACGTCTTAAAATTATCTATCCCTTTTTGAGGCTATAAGGTTAAATGTGCTAGGGGGATACATGTTTGCATACGAATAATTATAATGTTATGCATGGAATAGTACAGAAGGTAATTGAAACGATTTGTTAGAAAGGACCAAAATTACTTTTACATATGGATTATATTGATTGGATATCTGATCGTTTTGACATTTTAGTCTGCTAGGCTATTGAGCTGCGTGAATTTAGTGAAAAGGCAAAATTTTCAATTGAATTCCCTTGTCATTTATTCCCTTTTTATGTCAGCTTGGGCTGTTCGAGGCTTTGACCACATCTATGATATCTGATTCACTCCTGACAGATTCGATACCTGGTACTTTCCTCCGATAAACTACGTTATGTTAAGGACCCTTTGGTAAAAATATGAATCGCTTTTGAATCAAGCCAAGTCTTAACTCTTTCGGATTATATTTAATAGGTGCAAATAGGTATTTTTAATATTTATAGGTATACTAAATTTGGCATTTATTATATAAATA